GACAAAGAGATATGAGAGGGAAGCAATGCAAAAGAACAGATATCAATCACTGGTTTGCAACGAGCCCAAAGAAGGTAGCTGGTGGTATTACAGAATTTGTAGGCAGTGTAGCACATCTTTTTGCTGTGTGTAGGTAAATACTCTGGGCTGCAGACTGTTTGTCTTACAGACAGACTGATTGGGTATGAAAAGTGGATTTTGAAACACGGATTTTGTTGGAAAGGGACAAAATAAACCGTTGTTTTGTTACGTTGAAAATGGTGTAGCATGTAATGAGTGTAGCTGTTTCACGGCTGCTTATTGCAGTTATTTTTTAAGCTTCTACAATTTTTAATATATATTTACAATTTTTAAACAAATACAAAATATATGTTGAACACATTTGTATTGGATATGAACTAGCAGACGTGGTTAGCAAACTCTTTAATGATGAGTTAGCTTTTTCCTGTTGCTGGACAAGATCAGACATCAAAGCAAATTAAAAATGTGAGGCCAAACGCTGATTGCAATGTGGGCAACAGAAATCTTCCTGTCAGCCTTAATAAAAGCAGTTGTAAGCTTTCAGTGTTAGTCCAGTCCATCCAGTTCATGTGTCTTTCTGTCTTTATCTAATCTAATATATAGTCATGAGATAAATTACAGAAGCATATGATAAATTGCATTGCTATTCATTTTTGGCAAGATCACCTATACTCCAGCCACTAATTCATCTCTGCCAGGATCCACAGTAACATACCAGATCCTTAGAACAGCCTCCAAAAAACGTCATTTAATTTTCTTTAAGAGAACAAAGAAATTATATCTGTTGGAAAATATTCTATTTATCTTCACCAAAAGAAATATCTCGCTGACACTTTTGCAAAATCACTCTGGTATAAAACATCAAAAAGTATTTACGGCATTAAGAGTCTCAAATATTAGGTCTTATTCTATTAGAGAGGGAAATCATGATACAATTGAGGTTTAGGGATTTCAACACAGGAATGACATCACCAAAGGATGATATGGTTTAGGGAATTCAACAAGTCATTATTTGATTATTTTTGCATTTGTTTGGTGTTTGTTTTTTTTTTTGGCTAGAGGCTTGATAATTCAGGCAGAATACACCCAACTAAGAAATCTATGACTCGCCATGCTCATTTACAGCAGTCCTCCACTCTTGAACAACAGCACCATCCTGAGTCACACCAGGACCACCCTGGAGCAACAGATCCGTGCATCTCCATTAGCCACCATCCTCATTCACCTGGGAGTGGAAAGAGGCATGAAAGCAAAGAAGGAAGATACCTTCTTTTCCCTTTCACCCATCAGATCTGCCTGTCATACAGACTGGTGGGTAGTGAAGGCCTGTGGTGAAGTGTCTTTTGATGTGCAAAGACATTCTGAAGACTTGAACATGAGGTCTTGGGAGATACAAACCAATGAAGGCTGACTTTATGGGTTGCAGAACTACCCAGCATGATGGGGCACTACCCAGCATGATGGGGCACTAGGACACAGGTAAGACTGCACCTCTAAAGCTGGTCTCAAGACCTTGTTCTAATACCTGGTGTGATCTGTGAAACCTGCTGGGTCATCCTGAGAAGTCCCTGTGGACCAGCCCCACATCCCTCTGCTCCACCTCCAAGGAAGAGCATCAAGCTGACAGCAATGTTGTCTGGAGGAGATGTGTTAATGCCCACGCCCTGGTGGGGTGCCAGCCCCAGCAGTTGCTTTCTGCTCCTTGGATCTGCTGCTTCCCCTGCTGACAGCTGCCTCTTCCTCATCCTGCTGTAAACTGCTGTGAAATGGGGCCGTGATCCAGTCAACAGCTGCTGAATCTCACCCAGGAGGCTGCTGCACCTCAGTAGTAAGTGAATTGGGTTTGCATATCAAGATTTTAAAGCAATCTGGGGCATTTTGAGGTGAAAGATGCTATGGATGTGGAAAGGTGATCACTATATTTTCTGCAAAATCTGTTATCAACCCCATGAAAACACAAGCAGTACTGCAAGATAGAGCATGAATTGAAGGTTGATGTGAAAACCTGGCCCTGTTGGTGGGAGGGAAGGTTTTCCTGGTGTTTTCAGGGAGGCAAAGGCTTAATCCTACTCTATTTTGGAGCCATTGAGGCATAATGGTTACGTCCAGCTAATTAGATGTATTGCTATAGGCACTAGAGAAATATGATAGACAGATGCATTCAGCTAGCTAGATCTCCCTTGGTGTAGCGAGCTGAAGTCAATTACGGAGTTAAATTGGGAAAGGTTTGACCTGATGTCATTTATATCTTGAGTCATAATTAACACTTGAAGTTCAACTCTATGGCAATTTTCTTTTAATAACACTTAAAACCTATATAGAGCTCAAAGAATTGCATAGACATGATGAAGGATGGCTTGAGTGGATGCCAGAACTTCAACTTTAGTAATTAATCCTTAAAACCCCTTTGCAAGGCATATGGGTAACATCATTCCTCTTCAGTTTCTCCTTTGAAGAGAAGCAAGGCTTGCCCAGTGTCCCCCCAAAGTCCTGCAGAGAAAGTCTGAGGCTTTTTCAGCCGCTAAACTCAGTGAGCTCCCATCTTTTTGTCTCGCTATATTTTTAAATTACACCAAAATCTTAAGAAAGATTATGGACAAATTGCTTGTCAGATTGCCTGTTTTTCCAATTAGAAGCTGAGCAAATGCAGTAGACAAAATCTTCCAGAAACACGGCTCCGGCTTTTAAGATTTTCACGTGGATGAAATAGGAATGGTGCTGAGGGACGAAACGTGCTCTCGGGCTGAGACCTTGTAAGCTGAGTTTCAGCTCACTGCAGATTTTTATGGTCAACTTATAACTCCCTGAAAAGCAGGGGTTTAAAATGGAAGTGCTGACAAAACTTTTAAACTACAACAGTGGAAATGGCGCCGCAATAATTTATAATCTACAGGCAGCTCTTGGATTTATTATCGCAATGACAAATGCACTGTCATTGTTAATAGGATATTTCCCAGCAAGGACTTCTTGTTATGCAAGCCAGGTTCACTATGTCATGCAGCATGATAGCAATAAAGTCTACAAGAATTTGTAATGAACTTCAATTACTAATAGATTATGGTTAATGGGAAATATGTGCAGTAAAGATATGGGTTTTTATATGCGCCTTCTGGTACTCTACAAGGCAATGATTTATGCTACAATTTATGTTAACATTCTCCAGTTCGAAAAAAACCTAAATTGGTGGAAAGCCACTCCATCCATAACAAATATTTAAGATAATTTCGCACATCATGTAAATGAAGATGTAAAATTAGATATTAATCCATTTCATTTTAGCATTTGTATTTTTATTAAAAATGAAGACTTTGCCCTACTGTGTAATGACATTAAAAATCCTATCATGGGTTGCAAGCATGAATTACGCCGATGCAGAAATGGCGACAGCAACTGAGCTGTAAGTGCATTTGTTTAGTTTGCTGTTGTAATTAACGGAGCGGCAAGAGTATTTTTCTAGGTATGATTTAAAGGCACAGTACTGACGCTGCTTCCACAGATGTATGCGATGTGGGAGGGATGTACATGTGAAGACCAGGCTCTGTCGGAGGACCTCAGTCTTTTCCTTGCCCAATTTTCTTTCCCCCAGCTCTTCTATGTGGAACAATCGCTTGGAGCGATGCCTCCTCCACCAACACAGGGCTGACCCCTTTCTGCCCTGCAAACCCCCCATGGAAAGGTCCTGGCACAGCATCAGGACCCCCACTTCTGCTGGGTTTGTTGTTTGCATGAAGAGTTGTTTCTCCTCCTCATTTTCCTTCTCCTCTTCCTCCCTTCTCTTCTTCTCCTCTTTGTCCTCCTCCTTCTCCTCCTCATCCTTCTCATCCTCATCCTCTTCCTCCTCCTTTTCTCTCCCTCTATCTTTTACCCCTGATATAATTACCCCATAATATAATCTGTTCAGTCCAAGGATGTCTCTCCTTTTTTTTTTTTTTTTGTTTTGTTATTTATTTAATTTTTCAGAACCAACTCTGACAAAAGGCATGTATAGATACAATGTTAAGGGTTATATTCGCTGAGCCGTATTTCTGTAAAACGTTTACATTTCATATCTGAAACTTACTCAGCCAGAAAGGGATATCCGTGCACAAAGAATATGCAGGAGGAGCCTTACTGGTGTGTCTTTAACACAAGTAGCCTGATACCCTTCTTGTTTCAGTCTGATTTATGCCAGTTTAAGGCCATTGCTCCCAGTAAACCTCTGCAAAGAGCACATAAAAAACCCCTCTAGGAGGTATACATTCACCTTATAGGGGTGTGAGTGAGGCAGACCTGGCCCGTTGGCCTCCACAGGTTTGAAAAGAGCAAGATCTGGACACTTGCCTTTGGAAGAAAGTTCTGCGGGATGAGATAAGACAGGCTTTTGGGGAGGAAAACAAGTAATTCAGTGTGCAAAGCACACAGGTAAGCTCAAAATTGCCGTATAAATCGAAGTCTATAGTGGGTCTGGACTCCCCAGACATGCTCTGGAGCAGCAGCATCTTGCTGTACAATTAAGGGTGATTCTCGCATGAAAATGTGGCTCTTCAGGCTATTATGAAGTCGTTTGAGAGATTTACAAAAACTCCTTCTTTTTTATGGTCAAATGAGCATAAAATTGTCCTTCCGCACACTCATTTCCTGCTAAATAATACTTGCAGCACTTACTTCTTGGAAGTGTGTGTGTTGCAAATTTAAAATTAAAAATAATGTATCCCTTAAGGGTGCTATTCTAATTCAGTTTTTCCCCAGCCCCTCAACAGGAGCAGCTGCACACGCAGAATGGACTTCACTGCATTTCCCACCGCCACCCTCATCTTTTTAATGAAGTTATCCTTATAATTCAAAGTCATGGCAGAGGATGCCCTCCCAAAGTAGATAAGGAGTTTTCTTCTCCAGCTTGGGGTGAAAGTGCCTTGTCCCTAGTGAAATCTGCTTTTAAAAAAGCCCCCATGCAATACGATGCACTCAGCAAACACTCCCTTTGTCATCCTTTGAATCTCTTTTTTTTCTGGCCATACCATCCTCTTTTCTCCCCAGATCCTCTTTGTTGTCCTTGCTCTCTCCTGCTCACGCAAGAGGTGGGACCGTTGCCAAATCTTTGGAACAAACCTCCCCAGAAAACTCTAAAGCATTTGTTTCTGGTGTTTTTGACCTCTGTTAAACCATAAAACAGCAGGCCATGCATGTGCATCCTGTTGCTGGCTGTAGTTCAGCTTTTCCTTTTGTTATGGCGTTTCTGTGCCTCCCCAAGATACGTCACTTCTGACAGGGTTGTGTGGCAATATTCAGAGGTCACTGCCTCCACAAGCACCATTAACAAGAGGTCGTTGACAACACAAAAGAGCTATGGAAATAACTGTAAACTTTAATGTGCTTTCCATTAGAAATGCATGCAGGAATCTGTCCTAATGAGAGATTTTCTTTCTCTCCCTCACTGGCACATCACTGTAGCAGCTTACAGATATGCCGAGGTCTCCTAATGCAAGAATCTGTGCATAAGGCTGAGTAAAAGTGGCAATAGATTTTCTTCAGCTCAACAGCTGAGAAATATTGTGGAAATGTTCTAAAACACACTGGAATTAATATTTGATCACTAGGAGAATTGTGTGTTTCAAATAATTCACTCTGAAATGAGTATAAATGGCTATTAGTGCCTGATGCATTCTCTTGTAAATCACTTCAAATCTTCAATAATCTATATTGTTTCTGAAATGTATATGCAAAACTAAAACATCACTTCATGCTGCTAAAGCATTGCCTAAATAAACCATTTCTACCCTGGACTGAATTCTTTCAATGGCAGAAATCACACCTGTCTCACAGGATACACTGAGTATTCACGCTATTAAAGTCATTCAACAACTGTATTGTATTCTGTTATGCATTGTGCCCCGCAGAGAGCACAGAACTTCTTAAACCCATGAAATCACTCAACAAAAGAAATGCATCAGCTCCGGGAGCACAGACAGCCCTGCAGAGAGAAGGGGCTGAGGAGGAGAAACACCTTCTTGCTGGACCCCTTGCACCATGTGCCGGGCAGACCGACCTGATGTGGTTTCACTGGCAAGGAAACAAATCCCACTGAAAATTGTCATCTGGCTTCAGGGTTTATTTTTACATCTTCCAAGCTAGAAATCTCACAAGGCATGCATGGCCATTGCTGCCAGGCTAGTTAGAGGCTACAACCAGATGGTTTGTGTGTTTAATTAAAAATTAGAAAAGGCCCCGTGTAACAGCAGCAGCTGATTCCTAACCAAGGCTTTGCATCAGGACTTGTCAGCAAAATCCACCTCTTGAGGTTGATTGTTACCACTACTGTGCCACAACCACCTTCAGACCCTTCCCTCTTGCAGTACCAGTATGTACCTGGTACCCAAATCACTTTTATGGCATCTTGCAAGAGTCACTAAGAAGTTGAAAATTGTGTATTTGGTCTGTAGAGAGTTTTTAAATGAATATGACCTAATCATGTATTGATGGCTATTATCCATCAGCCAGAGGAAGTGGTCTGGCTTCTGCAGTGTTTGAGTTGATGGTCCAAGTTACATCTGATTACACAACGTCCATATGATAAAGCACAATTTACTGCTGAGTTACAGGTTCGTAGATTAGTACAGAATTAATCTCACTATTAAAGTTCACGTATAACAACAGATATTAGTAATAATTTCTTAACAGGCTACAAGAGGTAAACTAAGTAGAAGTAAACTAATCCATTTATAAACAATGTTTTAAAAACAAAATGTGTTAATTCAGGGCTCAATCACTATTGCACTCAGGTTGTTATTAAAAAGCACCTTCCCATTTCTTTTTTCACTGCATCCAGGCTTTTTTAATTCTTCCATTATCTGATGCTTTAGCTCAGGAGGAGCAGTTTTAGAAAAGTCCAATGTTTCTGTCAAGAAATCCAGCAACAACTCCCCATCCTCGTCCCCTTCAGTAAAGCAGCAGGTTATGTCCATGTCGGATGGGAGTTCGTGGAGCTGGTACTTCAGCCCAGCTGAATCCAGCATCCTTTTGATATCAGCAGAGGACACGTAAGTGCAGAGATCATCTAAAGGCAAGGAAGATCCGTACTTCTTCCACAGCGTTTCCCAGCCACTGTTTTCTGAGAGACAAACCATAACAAAGAACACTCAGACACTATTTGAACAAATTTTTGATCGTTTGTTTTATCTTGCAGCTGTCCGCAGAGATGGGGCATATGTAGGGGAGGTGGCTGCCTGGCTGCCCCATGCCTCTGTTCTGGGGCTGTGGGAGATGAGGGACATGTCACCAACCCACAGCTACCTCTGAGACCCCAGCTCAGTGCACGCAATCTTCCCCCCTTCCTCTCCCAATGTGCTCCAACTCTATTCCATGCACATGTGCCATTGCAGTGGCTGATGTCTCTGAGAGGTATGCTTCTATAGTACACATATTAAGCACCAGCTATTTGCTATCATATTGATTTAAGCTATTAAGTTTAAATCATCCACCAATTTGGCAGACCAAATACTTTCCCATTCCTTCACCCAAGTACTTTTTGGTTGAGCTACATGAGAGTTTCATTAAAATACCTATTGCCAGTAAACTATCTACCTACAACATGAAATGTATGGTGTGCAAAACCCTGGTCACATTAACCATGCAGCTGGACGTGTGGTGGAAAAATCCATTGTCCTGGCCTGCAGCCTTCATTCCCACCATGGTCAGAGGCTGTCAGGCACGGGCAGTGAGCAGGGCTCCCCTCATCCCAAGCAGGCCTCCCCAGTGGTGCCAGAAGGATGTCTGGGCTGTGTTTTATTTGGGCTGCTCAGAAATGAAGAGACAGGAAGGAAAAGGCTCCTGTAGCACTGCAAGCACCTCCGGAAGAGAGCCCATGTTAAGCCCACACACATGCTCACTCCTCTTCTCAAGGGACATTTTATAAAGAAAACCAGCTGGGTAAGCTAAAACCTCCCCAGATACATCTTCACTTCCTTGTTTTCCTTCACCCTGGATCTGTGTTTCAGCACTTCTGCTGCTACAAGCCATTTATAAAAGGATCACCCAGAATGACTGGACAGGATGAAAATAACTTTGAGCCTAATGAGCAGCTCTTGAGAGTTATGACTATAAATCTCCATAACTGCTAAAACCAGTTGCTCGGCGGTTTTGCAAATGCTTTATCTGCAAACAGTTATTTATAGTCAAATAAACAGTTTGGTGTTTAGAAGGGCTACAATATTTTCTTTCACCTGGTGGAAATTGAATGCAGAGCGCTAATTGCAGAAAATTTGCTGGTGTCAGTGTTGTGTGACTCAGTGCCATCTCTGAGCCGAGCAATTATACACTACCTGAACGAAGCATTATTATAATAGCTCTCGATAGGCTCAGCATATGGCGCTACTTTTGTTTTCAAGGCGATGTAAACACATTTTTTAAATGTGTTAAAAATAACACCATATAGCTCTTGCAACTCGCCTGCTCTCCTGGCAGGGATGGAACAGGAGGCATTGCAACCTTCACTGACTGACCAAACCCTCTCCTATCAATCCTATTCCCAGAATGGTTTTTAATTAACATATCCTAATGTGTTTGTGTTGGAGACGACATTACCTTCATTTTTTGAAATGAGCTTTGTTCTGCTTATCTTCCATTACCTCTTTTTGCTTCAGTGCTCATTTTGGTAGCAGCTTCTTCCTTCCCTTCTCTACACACTTATTTCCCTCAAGGTTTTCTCCCCTCCTTTCCCCTCTGCTATTCTGAGCTCCTCTCCTCTCTCCCATTTTCTTGTCGGACCTAGCAATTCCCCTTGCTGCCCTCTTTCTCTATAACTGACACATCTACCCAGACGTGTTATCATGTCCCACCTTATTGAGATTAATTCTGATTTTCACAGGGACACCACCCTATCCATTAGCCGTATCTGCAGAAGAAACAGCCATTACCAGCCACTTGTATGTCTAACCTGTTCCGTCTGAATGCAAAAGAGCTAAAATTATTCATGCAACCGTGGGGCATCATGAGTTGAAGGTGCAAAGAGAAGAAACAGGAGGAATGAGAAAACAAAGAACTGCCTGGCCTGGGGAGGATTTCAAATAGTTTTCATAAATTCAATTTTTTAATCAAATTAATTTTGAATAGACATGTGTTCCTCCCTGTATTCACATTTCATGAATATCCAGAGGGACAGGTTAAGCAACTGGAAAAGTGTTTCAATTAACTACAGGCAAGTAATCAGCAATAAACTGATACTGTGATCTATTCTCATTACTCAAACAACAAGAACAATAACTCAGATCATTTAAAATACAGAATTCTTGTAGTGTACTGCTTTAAAGCAAAATCATTTTGGAGAAAAATTGTTTGAATAAATTCAGGTTGGAGAAGTGCCCTTTCTCTGTGGACACTTCATGGAGACAAAAAGAAAAGGGGGGGGACTTCATCAAATACATGGCAGTTTGCAGGTATGTCCAAATTCAATAAAAAAATAGCTTACACTTCTGAACAAATGGTACTTAACAGCCCTGAAAAAAATTGTTGAATGTGACTGTTTACACAACTAAAATGTCTATAGTTTACATGAGGAAAATTAAAGGCTTTCTAGAGTCAAAACAGACCCCACTACTACCATACCTCTAGCATACCTTGCCCACAGGCAGTAGCCTTCTCCACTCCCACATTTTCCTCCTGGATTGACCACAGAGCATTTCTTTCAGATCTCAAACAGCCTGAAAACGCTGTTTTCCACCCAAAAGGACTATATTAAGGAGATGGGCAGTTTGAGAAGAAAATGAGCCATATGTCCTCTAACACCTGCTGTACAGCACAGCCGAGCCCTGCTGTAGCTGTTTGCTTAATGCTGCACATCTCCAGGAGCGAGACAATGCTGTGCCCAGCCTGAAGAGCCTTTTACAGGAAACAGCTGTAGCAGAGGCTAAAGGAGCTCTTGCTCTGTCACTGGTCTGGTTGTAGGAAGGGGAAGGGGAGAAGGAAGAAGGTGAGATAAAGGTGTTCAGTGCCCATGGCATGGGTTTACTGCCTCACGGAGCCTTCAGCTTTTCAACCTGCAGCACAGAGCTGGGCAGATATAGACGAGATGCAGGTTTCCACAGTTGTAGATGAATGGGCACCATTTACTCTATATGCAATAAAGGGGTATTTAAATCAAAAATACATGTTGTTTTCTGGCCAGCCTGTGCTGAACTCGCAAAGACCCCAGAAGTGCCCATGGCTCTTGCCTCACTGAGTGTGTTGTGGAGCAGCTCTCACCTGACACCACGATGATGAGGAGCTTTGCCTGTGCTTCCAGGAGGCTGTGGAAATACTGGATAGTTGCTGGGACATCTTTCACATAATACAGCATCTGGGAAGAGCAGAAATGCTAATGAGACATGGTGGGATCCTAGAGAACATTATAACTTGTACCACAGAGCAACCCTGACAGGAGAGCAGCGGGGTGCCAAGGTCCATCCACAGGGTGCCGGCCTGCTGGCAAGGACAGCCCCGTGGGCTCGGGTCTGCTCTCCCCATCCCCAGTACCGAGCTTGTGTTCACTCATTAACCTGGGATAAAAAGGTTTGCCTCCCTTAGCAGTGAGGATGGCTTGTAATGGCTTCGGTATACTGGGGAATACAAAGGCAGTTTCACAGAGAGGACAAGGAGCTTTGAAAACACTAGTTAAAATGTATTTTTAGTTGACTGTCGCCCACATCCTGGTTAATAGGACTACCGTGCTCAAAGCTGCTTTGCTGTAACTCATCTTTCATTTTTTTGCAGTTCACTTCTGCTTAAATACTTTAAATTATAGAGAAATAAACTCACCTGTCTCCCCCTTAGAGTGGATAATGAGGTCACATACCTCATGCACACTTTAAACAACCAAATCTCTGACAACAGCTACTCTGCAGACTTTTACCTGAATCATGTGAATGAAGTCCCATTTTTTAGAATTCTTTTCTGCATTCATTCGACTTTCATATTCATAAGCTGTCTCCTTATGCCAGGTAAACTTTACATTCTCGAGGTTTGATGTCGCCGCCACACGCTCTGAAATATGGGAGAAGACAGGACAGAGTCATCTCAATTGCAAATATGGGATCGATCTCCATTCAGGGCTTTAATAACATCCAAAAGTCATATTTAGGCAAAGTGTTTTGTTATCAATTTAACACAGCAGTGGAATGTTTAAAACCTTGAGGCTGTGTGTGAGAAGAAGGCTGTCCAGGTCTTTGTTAGGTGAAACCTTAAGAGGGTCTGATTCTTTCCCTTTTGCACCCTCATTTGGTCTCCTCCAGTCTTTATCTGATTAAAAAAATAAATGAAAATCTTTCTCGTGGTTGGTTCAAGCTCCATTTGCCATGGCCACTGACTAAATAAATACAGGAGCTTGAGGATTGATTAAAGGGGCTGTGTAGGAGACAAGCACAATTAAAAGCTTGAAAAGAGCAGAGGAAACAAGTGGCTCAGGCAGGGAGAGCATCATGGGGATGAAGGGAAAAGAGTTTTGCTTCATGAGAAAAGCCCCATCTCCTGACCTTGGGCTTCTGCTTCTGTGTTCAAATAAATGAGGTTTTCAAAAGTCCAGAGTTTTGGTCAACCGCTTCAAGTGAAAGGGATAACAGTGATTTAGAGCAAAGACTTTAGAAAGAGTGACACGTGGTGTGTTTTCAGACCTTGATGCCATGCACATCCAATGGCAGATGAAAGCCGAGAGTTGGAGGAGTGGATTCAAAGCATAAGTTGTACCAAGAGGCCTGGCTCACCACTGCATTTTGTTGCTTTTATAGCAGCAACACTGAGGGATGATTTTGCATTTTAGGAGATGCTGGAATACAAATGTTCATCTGCTGGCATATGGAGCTCATCTTGCTGTGCGCCTGCTTGGGGCTCAGGATTGCTCCAGGACAAAGCTATCCCTGATGCGATTCCTGTGCTTCATTGGAGTTAACATAAATTTAAAACTTAAATGGCCCAAAGGCAGACTGAGCCTTAGCTACAGAACACATGCTCAAAACAACATGATTTGCTAACACCAGTGCCTTTACTCCGTTAATCATAATGTTCCTCCTTTTGGGCTCTGTTAGGATATATCCCTGTCAGAGAGATGAGAAATGCTCCATCAGTGCTTATCTCCTCTCTTTTGTGGACGGAAATGGGCCACCCCTTTCTGCTGCTGCTCTGCTTGCTTCCATTTATCTGTCACTGGCCCCAGCACTTGCAGTTCAGGTTTAATTTGCTGTTTTAAACTCGGGCTTGCTTCAGCAGCAGTTCATATCACCATCACACATAATCTGGTGCAATCTGCTCCAGCTCAATTGCTAGGCAGTCTGCAAGGAGACGCTGGGAAGGGAAGTGAATTGCATGCCAAAGTGGGCTTTTAAAGCCAACATTTCAGAAAGGACAAACTCATTCTGATTATGGGAAGTTGCTGCCTGAAGATTCATCCGAACCCAAAACATATCACCCTAACAGCTTTGAAAAGTTTTCCCTAAATTTTATCCTCATTACAACCCAGATTGCTATCCTGGCCAGAAGCCATCTGCACGCCCTTGAGTTGGTGTTGGACTGAGCGCAGCCGCACTGTGATGCTTGGGCATCAGCAGCACGACTTGTCATGGTGCCACCAAAGCCACGGCCATGGGCACCAAGGGGCTTCACCTTGGCACAGAAGGAAAGCCAGAGACTGGACATAGGACTATGAGGAGAGCTTCCAGCATATGGCACGGCCTAGGAGAAAGCTCATTTTGCCATCACTGTCAGTCCCAGGAAGAAAGTTTCTCCTGTGAGCCCGGCATCTCCTTCCCAAGGAGACAGCAGCTGGTTAGGCAGAAAACATAGCTACTGAATCTTCAGAGGCACAGATAATGCTTCCAATTCTCCTCGGAAAAGGGGCTCAGAAACCTAATTAATGATACCTACTGGGGACATGATTAATTACCAAATAAGAAAGTTTAAAGAAAGAAATTCAGATGAATATTTCATTTCTAGTTTAGCATAAAACTTAAAATAAGGACAACATCTTATATTTTCTTTAACTTCCTACTGGAACGAAACTCCCTGAAATAGGACAGGACTGCCAATTAATTGGTTGCAGCCAGTGAATCTAGTGCCCAAATCCTCCAATATACAGAGAAAATGTTCTTCTGTCCAGTCTTTACCATCTCAGTCTGGAACAACATAAAAGCTGCTGGGAAGCTATCTTTTCAGAGACCAGGTCCATGTAACACAGAGACGGGTATCAAGAAATGATGCATTTCCTCTGATTGTTGCTTTTTTTTTTCCCTTTATCTTCCTCAGGTGGTTTCATACTGGGAATGCTTTGTTTTCAAGGACCTTAGAAAGAGTAAGAGTAAGATTTACAATGTGGTTTTATAATCTGGTATTTACTATGGTCTGGAGCATTTCCAATAACGGAGACTGCTGATGAGGTTCATTCATTACTGCCACATCCATTCAGCCGCTGTTTTCTGGCAAGCTGGGCTCTGCCCAGGGCTTCTCATGGCCTATATGATGCGATGGGTGTAACCTCCATACAAGACCATAATTACACGCTAGGTAAAGCCTGGTAGGTGTTAATACAGTGATAAACCAGCAATGTAATCAAACTGTGGACTGATGTTTAACATTCATTTTGTAGGACAATCTAACCAAAGCACCCCTCCTTATCCTCTGTCCTTGGAAAATGCTTTGGTTTCCCCCGTGAGCATAGCTCAAATTGTCAGGCTGGTGGAAGGAAATGAACTCTAAGCCACTGAGAGCAGACACACAGCAAAAACCTTCCCTATCCAGCTCACTTTCCTTACAATGTTTTCTAAATCAAAATAACGCAGTTCACACTGTGGGGATTAGCTACTTGGAAACTGTTTTAAGATATGTGAGAATTACCATGAGACACTAAAATCAGTGTTGCTGCAGGATCCCAGCTCGGTGCAAGCTGAAGGAGAATTCTTTCTGAAATACAAGGTCTTTGCTCTGTTCCCATACAGTCACACACCACTTTCCATGTTGCTTAGCTTTTGAAGTCTGCCTACCTGCAAGCTTTTGCCATGTTCTTTGAGTTCTTTGCAGTGTAAGAGACAAAGATTATAATGAGAAAGCACACATAGAAAAGCAATGATGTCAGGAAAGCATAAAATAATAACTTTCTTAAGCTTTAAGAGCCAATTCCGGCAAGAAAGCCTTTGAATGTGGGGTCGTCCAGCATTCAACTCTTTTAATGCACTTAGAGTACTTAATGTAAATTTAATTTATTTAATGTCAAAATACCTTTGTACTTGAGGATTTGTTCGGCACTTGGCTCCACCACCTCATTGTTGATTGTGACCCCTGGATATCTGGCTTGTACAGCTGAGAGGATCTGCAGGTCAATCTCTCCTAGGGAAAGAGGCAACATCACACAAGAGGTGAAAGCAAATCTCAGGCAAACATCTCCAGTACCACCAGAAGGCCAGTTTTGAAGTTTGATTCCTGCCCTTTGGATACTGAAAATACACTACATAGGTACAAGTAGGTACTTTGAATTCTCAGCAGATTACCACTGAGGGCAGAGCTGTAGGATCTAATAAAATAAATAACAGTCCCAACTATCTTTATTCCTCCTCTCTCACCACCACCAGCAGTGCCAAGGGAAACCAGACACAGTCATGTGGGTGGTGTGACCTTGTGCTTTCTAGACACGGCCAAACCTCTTGAGGAAAATGCTAAATGACCATGGTGGCCATTTATAACAGTGGTACTGGTTTGGATGGTCACAACACACCAGGGAGTCAATAATAAAATTTCAGCCTCAGTGGTTAACGTGTCATGGGGATGAGGGAGAGGAGAATATGTAAACACACTGGAAGTATGAAAAACACGTTCTTGTCCAGATTTAGCATACTGTGACTTTTTCTGTAAGATGAGCAATGCACATACCATCTATATTTACATAATACCCCAGACCTGACTGTATTTTTTTGTACGGAATAGTTCTCCCCTGGCACCATTCAGGACAGCTGCAATTATTCTCCCAGTGGAAGCACCCATACACGTAAGGTTTTAAATTTAAACAGAGCTGCCATCGCTCCTGGCCACCTCTCCCCATCTGCCATGTAGGAAGCTCGGGGAGATGATGCTCCTGACTGAGGCATTGGTCCGGGGACAGCATGGGGCTGGCTTGGTTGCTTCTTGCAGGGCTTGCTTCCGCTTATTCTGCTGGAACAAATTTAGGTGAAAAAGACAATGGAAGAATAAATAAAAGACAAGAATAAATAGAAGAAGCAGAGCCATGCCAGCTGTAATGTGTACCCTGGAGCTCAATCCAGCACATGGTCCTTCCCTTGGAGGGGCCTTCGCACCATGAGGAGCTCTCTGCCTGCTCCTGGCCCCACCACAAGACACTGCACCCCGAGGGTCTCACCTGCTCGTTTACGCCCCAAGAATTTCACATAAAAAGTGAGGAAAAGTTCAATCTTTTCAGACTTATGTCTTTCATAAAGCAACTAATAACACCAAAATTTATGTGACATCTGGGCAAGCACATTCTTTGAGGGAAGGGAAATTGAATTTCTGAAGTAGCATAAATAGCTGTGGCTTCCCTATCACTGCAAACCCAGTATTTTGCTGGAAATTCAGAGGAAAGTCTGTCATTTGCAGGCTGCTGTGGTAAACTCTGGAAACGCAGAATTTGGAAGTTACTACTGCAACATTTTTTTTTATTTTTGGTTTCTTTACCAACTTTCTATAAAATGGATTAGCCCTTTGAAAGGGCTGCGCAGGTCCTGATTAAAAAAAATAATAATTGAATTTCCCATTTCCATATGCAGGTAGGTTAATATATTTCCTTCCACTCCTCTGCGGCCAAACCACCCTTGTATTGTTTTTAACCAAAAAAAATAACTTTGATTCATAATTTAATCCACAGCCTTAATTGACTTCGGTTAGCTCTTTTATATGCAAACAAGTGTCCTGAGGCATTTTACAGTCAAATCTGCGGCAGCTTGCATTATCAACAATTTGGCAATTAGGCTATCCGAATTATTTAAACTCTCCAACACAATTACCTTTTAAAGGCTACCACTATGTTCGCCATTAAGTTTCTAATTAAACATTTTACGTAACGGGATAGTTTATAGCACAGTTGCTGCTTTATAGCGGCGCTGATGACTTTTATGGTTTTTAAAGGTACAGAGTGCTGCGCGCTGGAGTGTGAACTTAATAAGGCAGAGGCTGTAGGCAAAGGCAGGAGCTTGAGATGGGCGGGGGTAATGGGATATGATGCTACATTAAATGGTTTGCTTCTTTCTCACAGTGGAAAAAGTGCACAGGAGGTGGAAAAGCGGAAGAAAAGCATCCTTGCCTTCCGTGCTGCCTCCCTGTGCAGTGCAAGGATGGGGCCACGGGGGCTGGCATCAGGCAGGGGAACTGGATCCCCCAGGTTTGCTCCTGCCCAGGTCCCCATGGACCTGCAGAAGGGACAAGCAAGCCAGGAAATGGGCCTTGCTGGTTCCTGACTGCACATCCACCATGCCAGGCTGGAGTGCCCCTGGTTAGGGAGTGAAGCACCTCACTAACCGAGCAAAGTGTTCCTCTTAAAAGCAGTATTTTTTGTGGCAGAGGAATGGTTTTCCTTGCTCGGAGAGAAATGCTCCTGCTCTGTCACACTGTCTGTTTTATAACTAACACCCACCATTTACTTACATTTATTTTTTTACTTATTAGGAGAGATTAACAAAGCTGAGATTAGTATTTGGAGTTGTTATGACTAAAGCACTTAAAATAAATTAACTGTTTGTAAAAAAATTTAGTTTAATGGCTTAATGGGCAGAGCAGAATTAGGAAACACAGGCTTTAATTAAGAGGGAACTTAAGCAAGAATTTAATGAAGAGAAGCACTCTCTGCTGTTGGTATTGTTTTTCCACCCAGCTGACTTCAGAAAAGAGACGTACTTCTCCTGATCCCCCAGACCCCAGTGAGACCTGGCCAGAAGACACTCAGCCCTTCATAGGGATGGAAACACACTGCGAGGTGCCGCTAGGGTGGGACGGAGACAATTAGGTACAGGCAGGGTTGGCGGTGTCCCCCCCTGTGCCATCAGCGGGTGGCACAGAAACCCAAGGGGCAGCTGGAGCCTCTCTGAGCTCCGAGGGGTAATGTGGAGAAGAAGGTTTCTCCTGGAGGACACGCAGGAGTCAGGGTGTGGGGCACAAGCTGGTTTTGTACTATGGCCATTTCCTTCTGCCCCCTGCAGAGGACTTCTTGAGAAAAGCCTTTCCTTCCCTCCCCACTCTTCTCTGCAACTTGCAGTCCTCTAGCCAGAAGAAAAAATAAAAGGTTAAAGCTTATCAACAGTGAAGCTCACGGCATACCTGCTCCGCCACCAACACTTAGAACATTGATTGCAGGCTTCCCGTGTCCAATACTGCAAAACATTATTTATAAATGTTAGCAGAGCTGCCCAGCAGATAGGGTTATGTGCATTACGGGAAGTGCCAGGGATGCTAGGAATTAAAACCAGCAGGACAGACCCAAAAGCAACGTGTGCAGGTACATGCACACCCATGAGCAGGCAGGTGGGCTCAGATTCAGACCTCTGCTCTTAAGACATGCCAATTTCTGGTGATTTGGGTGATTTGCAGAAGTCTCCACGTGTATTATTGCATTTTTCATGTGTCAAGGTTTATCCAGGGTGAGTTTGCATGCAAAGAAACCACCCAGCCTTATCTCCTCCCTGCTAGGCAGGCTCTGTGCTGCAGACGAAACCTCCCATCCTGGGGGTGGCCGAGGCCACCACCAGCCACCTGCCACCTCCACGGGACCGTGCCCAGCACTGGGCAGGACTTTCTCCCCATTACCTCGCCAGCACGCCGGGCAGCTGCCGCTCCACAAACTCCTGCATGCACTGGTGCTCGGTCGACTTTGCCAAGAAGACGCGGAAGGACCGGAGGTACCTGCTGGGGTCGGACATCAGGCTCCGCATGGAGGAAGCCATGACGGATTTTGGGAGGCTGTTCACGGTGGGAGGACGGTTTGTTCTCCACAGCAATCCCCTGCACCCGGGGGAGGAACAGAAAACAATGCTCAGTACACGCTGGGATAAAGCCAGGGCATCTCGTGTGGCTGAACAGGGAGGTGACGGTCAAGCACAGGACTTTGCTCCCATCCTCCGCCAGCTAATTTACATTAGGGACGGAGTGCTTAAAGAAAGATTACGCAATGTTGCGATAGAAACCATAAATCAGGTCTGAGCAGCAAATGGTAATGTATCATGGTTAATCTCTGCGAAGGAAATGCCAGCATTTTTTAATTGTGCTGACATAGGGCACTCTTACTACCCAGTGAAAGGGTCCTGAGACACCTCTCAAGGAAAAGAAAAATTCCCCTATTCCTTGAAGGCACGGTGAGGCTTGGAAAGCTTGGTCTGGATTAGAAGAAAGAGCAGCACACTTCTCCAGAGATGCTAGCAGATGTCTTTATCATGTTTTCCTTTCCTTCTTTTTTTTTTTTATATATATAGAATCTTTTGATGCGATTAAAGACGATGCTGGCAGTGGGGTAGAAACAATAAAACCCTTTAAAACACACTTGGTAATTTTCAATTCCTCTGAAGATAATGGTGCAATTCCCACAAGCAAAGCAGTTACTTCCCGAAAGCCACGTGGCTTACTGGAATGGATGCCATGAGAAACGTGGCACAGGGAGACACCCAGGGCTGGGGAGGCAGTGGGTGCTCCCGGGGACCACCAGGCTTGTGCTGTGAACAACCAAAACCACACTTGGTGTCCATCGGGTCTTGTCCTCACTCACAAGGAGGAAAAGGAACCCTCTGTAGATGCCACACACAAGGGCCAGCCTGTGACTTCCCCCTCTCCTCCCTTCCCCTGGCCAACCCCCTTCCAGCCCCCCTGGTTATTTTTATTGTTCTCGTTGGACTTCTGTCTCCTTTCAATGATTACAACAGCTGCCTGGCTTTGCTCAGCTTTCTTTTCTACCGGTGCCAAAAATAACGTCCAGCTCGTGACAAGGCTTTATTTTTGCATCCCGTGAGCTGCAGCTCCCCAAGTGCCAAGGACTCCAGCAGGAGGCACTCCTACAGCTCCTCTTTATTTGAGGACACAGCGGGTGCTGCTCCAGAGCTCGGGCACAGGCTGCCACCGTGTCTGCCATCCATCAGCAGCATCTCCTCCTAAGCACCACCACCAGGGCAGACACAGCACCCTTCCTGCGCCCCACCCCCTCTCACACAGCAAACTTGTGTGCATTAATCAGAGAAGGTGAAAAAGATGGCAGAAGAGCATTAAAAACTGCTCGCTCCCAGATGCCCACGAGGGCTGGCTGGCGCAATGAGGCGGAGGAAGGCAATGGGGCCCCCTGGCCATGGAGCTGAGCCCCCCCGATAGCCTGCCTGGGGCTGATTTAACGAGTCTGGCTCCCTTAGATAAGAGAGGCAATCCAGCCTGCATATTAGAAAGACAGACCAACAAACTGCAGCTAAATCGACTCCATTACCTGAAGGGCCATCACTCAGGGGACATGCACAGAGAGACTGTGATGTTGCCTGGCCAGGCAGACCTTCCCGAGCCCTCCCACCCACCCACCAGCAGCCACCGCCTCTTTTCCAGGTGCCTAGCACCGGAATCCCCAGCATTAACCTGGAGAAACCAAGCACAGACATTGCTTGAGGGAGGAAGGATGCCTACACCTGGCTGTACACGGAGTGAGAATACACTCTGCCAGCCCGAGAAGCAAGCGGTAGCATCCGTGTTTACCCATTCCTCTGCTCAGCTCCCTGCTTTTCACTTTATATGTACAAAGAGGCTTTGGCACTTGCTGCTGAAATATTTTACTGCCTTCCATCTCGAAAAAATATTTTGCAGCTAATGAGAGGAGATTTAGATAATCAACCTTTCTTGTCCAACTCCCCGTGCTTCCTGTGATTTAATTTGCCCACCCCCGGCTCGGCAGTCTCTAACAAACAGCCGAGATTCATTTTCATGTTAGGTGCAGTTCGAGGAATTTGTCTCATTTATTTCATTCTGCTTTTGGCTGCTTGAATTTGCCCCATTTATTTCATTATGTGTTTTGCTGTTTACGCTGCGGCTAGTTAACTTTAAAAATGAAGAAAATAATAATAATCAAAAAAAGAGAGAGAAAAAAAGGATTATTATTTTTAAATCAGGACGATATAGAAACTTTGGGGTAATAATGTTCATTTGGACATGATCCCTACAGTGACGACCCAGATTTTTATGTAGCTTCCTAAAAGGACTGCAGCTTCAAAAGCTGTTTCTGTGCTTATGCTGCAGTGGTTTGGACCAGGTTTGCACCAGCAGTGGCAGAATTAACACTGATTAAACCCACTGACGAACTCTTTTACACTTTCAGCACGACCTCTGGCAAGAAAGCGAGTTTGCCCTCATGCTGCTGGATGCCCACGCAGCCCGTCCCGGTACTTACGTGTGTGGTGGTGCCTGGTTCAGCAGCTCCCTCGGCACGGTGCCCTGGGTGTTGGGGACGTGCCGTGCTGACACCCCTGCGGTGCCTCCAGTCCCACCCCCAGCCGGGAGGAGGTCCCCTTTGGGATCTGATCTCCAGGATGTGGCTGCTGAGGCAGCGGGGAGTGGAGGGATCCGGCTGTGTGGTTTGTCCCAGGTCACCAGCTGGAAAAATGTTGGGGGAAAAGGTAGAAAGGGGAAATGAGGAAGCTCCTCTGCTCACACCGCAGCTGTGGTGTAACTGCTGTGCCTAAGCATGCAGTCTCTCCAAGCTGTCTCTGAAGGCTCCAGGATCCATTCCTGCACCCACAGGAGGGTGACAGCCACCTGCTGCAGTGGCCTCCTGGCGTGGCTGGCACCAGAGGAGCCTGGCACAGCCGTGAGGGCACCGGCAGCATTCAGACCTCGAGGTCTATCAGCCCCTTGATTAGGGTCCGGATGACAAATAAACTCTGCTACGGGTATAAAGGAAATGTGACTCCTGCCAAACTAGAAATGGTTATCTCAGTGTGTAAGGTACAATATTGTTAGTTTGCCTATAGAAACCTACCAGTACAGGTTACTTTGCTTTTTAGGTGGCTCTTCTGCAAGCAGCAGAGATTTTGCTTATCCCTTACTTTCAAGGGCTCAAGCTTTGCTATAAGCAGTTTTAACTCAGGGAATGCAAGGGCGGAGAAAAAACATCAGCCCGTGTCTGTTTTCACACTGCATTTTGGTGCTCGTAGCATTAATAAAATATTTGCCATCTGTGTGCCCCAAATTATTCATTGCTCCTTCACTTTTCAAGTTTTCCTTTCGGACTTTCATGGAGAAATGAACTGTTCACATTGTGAAAGGCTTATCAAATCACACCAGTAATAGCAATAATCCTACTTTCAAAGACACAGCCACAGAAAAAAAAAACATCTCGTGGGTTGACATTTAGCCCAAAGTTTACCAAAATAAAGATTTCCTATCAGCAGCTGCAATCACTGAGAGAGCAGCTCTGGCTGGGGACAGGCAGCACTTGCTGTACTTCCCTCTGTCCATGCGTGGCCCCGTCCCCAAAAAACTCACAGCAAAGGAGTCAGTGCCCACAATGCAGCAGCCAGCAGGACCACAGCAATGTCATGGTTTCAGACAGACAGCCCCAAGTTTATCTGCAGCAGGAATCAGAGGGGCTGGCCCCGCAAACGCCCACCACCTGCTCCCTGCTGGGTAGTGCCATTGAAGCAGCTCTGCAGCTCTGCTTCCCATGTATTTGGGGAGAAAATGCTTAGTTTCAAGTTACATTCATTACATTCCCTTGGCTTTTAGCTCCTGCTTTATGCAAAACTCCGCTTGGAAAGGCAAGCAGCACCTTTTTCTCCCTTTTTTCTTGGAGCTGAATAGCCTTGGCCTGGGCTGAAGGGGAGGAGGTGCCCACAAGCTCCCGCACCCCGCTCAGCAGGGCTGGCCTTTCATTTTAAGGAGAACGAAGGCCAAGCTGGTTTTTCAGACAGCCACAATCTGGGCCAGCTTCCCTGCACAGGAGGTGCCCCAGCGAATGCTAATGCTGCAGGAACGGCTCCCTGCCAGGCTGTGGGTGCCGGCCCTGCTGCAACGCCCCAGCAGCGCTGATAAGCTCTGCTGTTCAAACAGACCTGAGCACCCAGGGCAGTGGCATTTTCTCAGCTTCCTGAGCAGTTCTGGAAACACGAATTAACTGGAATCGCCAGAGCTGTGCAAGCCAGTCAAAAAAAAATTAATAAATAAAATAAAACCCATGCGTCTGGCCTGTGCTTTCCCTACTCTGTACCCCACAAAACAAATGGAAGTTTTCCACGTACCAGTTGCCATTTAATACAAAAGCCTAAGCTCAGAGAGCCAAAAATAAAGACTATCTGGTGCCTGTGTATGCTTTATGAAAGATGTTGCTGTCAATTTGCTACTGAACTCCCCACAGAGCCACATTCTGCAAGATTTAAGCCTGGTCCCAAGCACTTCAGTTTGACACGGGCTCGAACAGGACACAGGACAGGGGGCTGGCATCACTCTGCAGAAAGAATCCCCTGGGGAAGCCGGTCACACCACCCCCAGGCAGACTGCCTGTTTTGTTCATTGTTGTGGCTTTACTCCATTTAACATCAATATCCAGAAAAAAATAAAAATAAAAAATTCACCTACCTGTGCCTTTTTACCCTGAGCATGCATCCAGCACTGCCCTAGAATGAATGAGGCTGAAAGGAGTTATTTAGAGGAGATCACAAAAGCCTCAAAGTTATCAATATTTGAATGATATTGGAAAATGATAGCTGTTGTGCATTAAATAACTCTCAGTCTTTCTGGGACAATTCACAAGTCTGTAGATACTTGGCCAACAGTAGCATGGGACAATGTTAAAACACAAAATTGGGAGTGAGAGGAGACCAGCCAGAAACCAGGCAAGGACCTGGGTCATTGTCTCTGTCCCCATAGGCGAGATGAGGGCTGGGAACAGTCAGCATCTGCAGCCTATTTCCTCCTCTGAAGTATATCTGCGGGGGTTTGGGCTGAAAATCAGGCTTGGGGATCCTCAGGGTACACCAGGTGGCCACAGGCACGATGTCTCAGCAGGGCCAGGAGTGCTGGAGCAGCCCATGGGCAGCAGCGACCCTGGCTGGGCACAGATTTGTCCCTCTGGTGTGGGACCAGAGCCTGGAGTCAGAGCAGAGCCCAGCCAAGGTCTGGGAACTGGCAGAGGACAGATCCATGCACCAACATTAATGAATCCTGAGCATGCCCCGGGTCAGGAAACCTGATTTTCCAGAGGCAGCAGGAAGGGGAAGGCTGGGTGAGAGAGACCAAAGTTCTGGCCTTTCACCACAGTTACTATAGAAAGACCAAATATCCGCGCCCAGAGACTGCACGCATTTATTGGCCTCACCTCTGGATCTGATTTAATCATGCTCAGCCAGCCCGATAACAGCAGGAGCTAGACGTTGCTTAATGTCCAAAGAATTATTTCTGCTGTCTTCTAATAAAGCACGTCGATGTAGGCTGGAGTTGATAACATGATTGCTGCGCTAGGGTAGCAAAATCTCATTTTACAGGACAACTGAACTGTCAGTGCCAAAGAGCAGACAGGTTATTGCTCACACTCCTCCAAGGTTGCTTTTATTAAAATGGAAATTTCCAAAGCTTTGCATGCACAGACGCACAACCGCGGGTGCTGAAAGCCCTCCTGGAGGGAGCAGGGCTGGTCACAAGTCTTCTTAAGGATTTTCTCTCCCTCCCCAAGCCCCACGTTGACATCATCACCTTAAATTGGACCTTTTATATCTTGCCTCTCACACCATCAGGGTTTGGGCACACTGATTTTCAGGTTGCTGAGTGCTGGGGAAGGACACGCGTGCCATCACCTCACCTCCAGCACTGCCTGCCTCAGAACCCCTGCTCCTGACCCCTAACACGGCCAAAATTAGCATCTGGCCGTATTTTCATCTCTCCATAGCTATCAGTCAGAGCAAATGTGGCTGGGACGAAGCCATATCTGGGCTTAAATCGAGCTGCAGCTCAGCAGCTCTCCCCACAATCACACCAGCAGTGATGCAGCATGCTTGGAGGAGCACATCGGCAGGGACAGCATACAGCAGCACAGCATTTGTGCCACGGGCACTCGGGTCAAGGCATCCCCATCACCCAGCTGCAAATAGCCACAGTGCTGAGCCACCACTGCAGTTGAGTTTGGCTGCCAAGAACAATGAATTCAACAAGCCGGTCGCTTTATCTTCCCAGGTACTTCTGAGGAATGGATTGGAATTTTTATAAATGTGTGCCTTGGTTATAATAATTTTGCTTTTCTTCCCCTCCCTGAACTTAATTGAATCAAAGATTGTTTGTGAAATATCTCATAACGAAGCACTCCCAACTTCTGGCTCACAGGCAATGAAACAAATGAGTGCTCTGTTCCCAGACTGAAAAAAAATATAAATAAAAAATGTAAGTTTTACGGGGTATTTCAATTAGAAATTTGAAACTGCAATTCTTAATTAAAGTTGGAAAGAAACTCAAGTTCCTACAAGGTTGGGCAGGGAGTTTGTTATTGTGTCCGTGTTTGGAGGTGATGCAGGGTGCCGCACACCTTCACAGGCCAATAGTCATTATCAGAAAGAGCCGTTTGGAAGTGATGGAATTAGAAATCAGGTGCAGTTCTTGTCCTGCAGAGCTGTAAGGCGGTCATGGACCAGACCCCTGCCTCGCGCTGTACCTGAGCAGCTTGCAGCTCACTTTTTTCTGGGACTTCAGTCTCTGCCAAGAAGCTTGTTTCTGCACTGGGGAAGCGTGAAGGACTCGGCAAAGACCAGGCTGACATTATGGATGTCGTTGGAAAGCAGAATTGTGCCAGGGAAGAGGAGACGGATTTTCCTCATCGCCACTTGTGCTGCTGATTTAGATTTTCTACATGGGTTTGGATTTTCAAAAGCAACAATCATTCATTATAAAAAGGAAATTTTTAGGGCATTTTGCTGATGTTTGAGAACAATTATATTCTCTTACTCAGGATGCAGCAATATGAGGCAAGAACTGATAGAAAAAGACAGCTACCTGCAAATGAGAGCCCCCTTGTTGGACACTTCTTTTCAGAGGTGGCCAGGTGAGAACACCGATGCCATGCTCGCCCAGCACAGCTCCGTGCCCACTTTGCAAGGCTGCAACCTGCTGATAACAGCACCGCATCTTTTGAGATCTGAAGGAGCCACACCAGAAAGGCAACCAGCAGAAATTAGAAGAGCTTTCTTCTGGCCTGAATTTTGGATGCCCTTGCCCCCCATGAGCACACGGCTCCGGCATGGACATTTCAATGCAGGGAGCCCAGCTGTGTTGGTTTAACGGGGCCGCCGCCTTCAGAGAATTATTTTGACAACTGAATATTCCTCTCGCATCTCATCAGCGTGTTTCACATTCCTCCTAAATCTCTCTGCTCAAAGTTTAATATTTTTGTGCCATTCATATCTCTTCCTGTGGGAGCTCGCGATAAGCTTTTGAAACAGCTTAGACACACACACTCCTCTCAGATTGCACTACCCTCTTGCAACTCTCATAGTCAAAATCTTAGCATTAAGATCACAATAAAACCATGTATTAGGAACACTTTCGACATTTGTAATCCTTAGCTTGTGCCGAACCCCAGCACTTAAATTACCCTGGCCTGCTAAAGAGTTATCTCCCTCCTTGGAGATATCTCCCTCTGTGGAGATCTTCAAAAACCACCTGGAGTTGGACCCTGCGACCTCAACCATTTGTAGATTTTGCAGTCTTGGCGAAATCTGTTTTATTACCTTTAAGCTCACAGGCTTCTGAGCATGGATGGCATTGGTCAGTACCAGAGAGGTGGTATTTGCACCAGGCATCTGCACAACCCAGCGCCCGCTCACCCCTGTGGACTTTACACCACTGTAGCAACCTGTAAATGCAATCTAACACAGCCCTGCGTCC